AAAAATTCAGCCGCCATTTTCCAAAATGGCGGCCAACTTTGAAATTTCTTATGGAACACCCTGTATTTTATCATGTTTTCGGATAGAACATGCAATTTAAAAACTTTTTTATTCTTGCAATTTTTTCGATAAACCCACTCGTTTAGGAGCTACAGCCTATGGAAAAATGACTGCCGGTGTACATTTTACATCATGTAGCTCCAAAAAAAGTAGGTTTAGCGGAAATGCAAAGAGAAAATAAGTCAAATAAGTCTTAAAATTGCATCCACATTCCATTAAGACCATAAAATACACAGTTTTCCACTTTTCAAGTTTGCCGCCATTTTGGAAAATGGCCGCCATTTTTAAATAATAGAACTAATATGTTTAACAAATTTTATGGACTTTTTGGAATGGGATGCAACTTTAAGACTTATTTGACGTATTTTCTCTTCGCATTTTCGCTATAAACCTACTTTTTTTGGAGCTACATGATGTAAAATGCACACCGGAAGTCATTTTTCCATAGGCTGTAACTTCTAAACAAGTGGGTTTATAGAATAAATTTTAAGAATAAAAAAGGTTTTAAATTGCATGTTCTATCCGAAAACATGATAAAATACAGGGTGTTCCATAAGAAATTTCAAAGTTGGCCGCCATTTTGGAAAATGGCGGATGATCCATGATCCGTTTTTTCATTTTCATTTTTTGATTTTTAAATATTGACTTTTTTACAAAAAAATTGCAATATTTCATAAATAAAACTTGATAACAAAAAATGGATTGCGGCATTGAGTTTAGCTTAAAAAAGTATTTCGAAATGATGGGTCACAACACCCCCTTCATATTTAAAATAATTTATCACATTTCAAAATGGCGGATCCAAGATGGCGGCCGAAAAAAATACATCAGTCATAACCAAATGAAAATAGGTCAACAATTACTGGTAGTGTATACTTATCTTTATCTAGCACTATTTTGAGATTATGGTCTTAGATTTTAAATGCACAATGTTAAAATGTGCTAAAAATACAGTTTTAAAAAGCCCTCATAACTTTAGAATGAATCAAGATTTTTAAAAACAGTTTGCGGCATTGTAATCAAGGTAAAAATCTAGTTTGAAATAATGGGTCGCAACCCCACCTTTACATTTGAAAAAAAAATTTTGCATCCAATATGGCGGATCCAAGATGGCGGCCGGAAATAACCACCTTGTCAAAATGAAGTTCCTACTACCCAACAATGTTTGGAAGTGGTCTGGGATTGATATTTGAAAAAATGTAGAAAAAAGTTGGGGGGGGACAATTAAAACTCACCCTGTATATAGATACATAAAAATTTGAACGAATGGTGTTTTTGGCCTCTGGGGACATCAAAATGAAAAAGTAAATCGGTCCCGGGCTTAAGTCTTACCATGAGACCTACGGTAATAGCTACTTCCCTATAGGGAAATTCGCTAAAATTGAAGAAGATTACATCTTTTACAAGAAAAGTATACAGACTGCCCCAAAAGTCCCGGACCGGTTTAATATTTTCTAAACGACAACAGATAAATCAATAAGATTTTGCACATCAACACCACACCTAAAAAACTACTTTTTTAAGGAACTATGAATTTTCTGTCATACCATGGGGACGTCCCGCAAGGAGTCAGAAGGAAATCTTAAATAGAAGCATAGGTTGATATGCACATCAAATTAAAGACCTTTACTAGCAGAATATAATGCCGCAAATTTGAACTCAAACGGATAACTGAATAAAAAATGGCAGCCGTTCAAAGATTTCTTGAATCCACCATTTTGAATCTTTGAACGACTGCCATTTTTTACTCAGGCGTTCTTTTGAGCTTGAATTTACGGCATTGTAATTTACTAGTGAAGACCTTTAATTTGATGTGCATATCGACCCATGCTTACGTTAACAATTTTCTTCCGATTCCTAGGGCTGTGCCCCCCGAGGAGTAAGCGTATAATAGCAATGCAAATTAAATTAATCTTTGAACTACTGTCATTCTTGACTCGGTTGTCCGTTTGAGTTCGAATTTGCGGCATTATATTCTGCTAGCAAAGACCTTTAATTTGATGTACATGTCAACCTATGCTTCTATTTAAGATTTCCTTCTGACTCCTTGCGGGACGTCCCCATGGTATGACAGAAAATTTATAGTTCCTTAAAAAAGTAGATTTTTAAGTGTGGTGTTGACGTGCAAAATCTTATTGATTTATCTGTTGTCGTTTGGAAAATATTAACCCGGTCCGGGACTTTTGGGACAGTCTGTATAATGTGTTTATTTTGTTTAAACAGATTACAAGTTATTACTTATTTAATTAATATCTTAATAAAATACTCCTTCCATCAGAAATAAATGTAAATTAGTATGCGAAACGGGACGAGTCCTATCCGCCCAAAGGAAATATAACGAATATTTTGGAAATCTTGACAAAATTTCCAGTACCTAATTTGACACTTTAATCATAAAAATTGATCCAAAATTTAGGCGAGGGAGAGGTAACAAAAATGTTGTGTTTTGGTGTTTTTTATTAAGAATTATAAAATACCCCCGCCGCAGCAAACCTGCAGACTAAGCGAATTTCCATTTAAGCCTGATTGGATTTAAACTAAAATGTCTACTTAAAAATATAACATTCATTTCCTATTTAGAATTAGTTTAACAAGTACTTAGGTTTGCTGCATCAGGAAGGGTAAAACTGGTTTTTTTATGTTAATAGTTAGTAAGAAATAAAAACATTTTCCAAATTTTATCAAAATATGTTCATAAACAAGCAAACTACAACAGTTTACTTGTTCTCCATAAGAATAACATGGGAATTTTAAATTTACATTTTTTTTTAAATTTTCTCCATAACCATTAGGCGCATAATAACGCTTCAATATACTAAATTATTTGTTTTTTTAAGCTCTACAAAATGGTTTAGAAAGAAATTGCTAAATTTGATGTTTTTTGTGTCAAAAATGGGAAAAACCTATTTTTACCCCATAAAACCCCCCGTAAACCCCCGTTCCCATAGTCCGATCATACTGGTTCGCGAACTCGTTCGAATAAATGTAGGTTTAAATGTTTATACCAAATTTCATCAAAATCGGATCATTTTTGCTCGAGTTATCGTGCTAACGGACACACACACACACATATATATATATCAATATATATATGAAAATAGAATAATAGGGCTACTATATATAAATAAAGATTAAACATTAATAAACTTAGTACCCGAGTAAAATTATTTATTAAAATATTTACTGACTATAGTTTCGGCTCTAAGGCCATTTTCAAAGTAAACAAAAATCAAAATAAAATATGTAAATAAATAAATAACATATATATTATAAAACCTTTCTAACTTGTAACATAATTTTGTCTTCATTGATTAATTTATATACTATATGATGTGTTGTACTTATTTTCATTAATATTTTCTCAATTTTGCTATTGTTTCATATATTGGATTATTTAATTTTGGAATCATTGTTTTTAAAATATTTGATTTGTTATTTTTGTAGTTCATACAAATATTAATTTCTTCTTTTACATTCAATTTTTCTCTGCCTTTTTCAATTTCTAATATTGTTAAGTTTTCTTCAATATTAGTAAACTTATGTTTGGATTTAAGTAAATGATCTGCAAAATTCGATTTCATTAATGTTTTGTTCTTCGATTTATATGCCAGTATATGTTCGTTGAATCTAACTGTCTGTTTCCTGATTGCTTTGTTAACACTCAAACATACCCCAATACAATTAAGCTACAGAACAAAAAATAACATTTAAAAAATTATACACAATAAAGCCAACAATCCTACAACAAACAATGTGTGTTGTACTTATTTTCATTAATATTTTCTCAATTTTGCTATTGTTTCATATATTGGATTATTTAATTTTGGAATCATTGTTTTTAAAATATTTGATTTGTTATTTTTGTATTTCATACAAATATTAATTTCTTCTTTTACATTCATTTTTTTTCTGTCTTTTTCAATTTCTAATATTGTTAAGTTTTCTTCAATATTAGTAAACTTATGTTTGGATTTTAGTAAATGATCTGCAAAATTCGATTTCATTGATATTTTGTTCTTCGATTTATATGCCTGTATATGTTCGTTGAATCTAAACTTTAAAATTTCAATAGGTTTGTCCAATGTAGTAGTTGTCACAGCCAGAGCATTTAATTTTGTAGATAACAGATGCGTTGTATATGTTTGCTGTATTGTTTGTTGTAGGATTGTTGGCTTTATTGTGTATAATTTTTTAAATGTTATTTTTTGTTCTGTAGCTTAATTGTATTGGGGTATGTTTGAGTGTTAACAAAGCAATCAGGAAACAGACAGTTAGATTCAACGAACATATACTGGCATATAAATCGAAGAACAAAACATTAATGAAATCGAATTTTGCAGAGCATTTACTTAAATCCAAACATAAGTTTACTAATATTGAAGAAAACTTAACAATATTAGAAATTGAAAAAGGCAGAGAAAAATTGAATGTAAAAGAAGAAATTAATATTTGTATGAACTACAAAAATAACAAATCAAATATTTTAAAAACAATGATTCCAAAATTAAATAATCCAATATATGAAACAATAGCCAAATTGAGAAAATATTAATGAAAATAAGTACAACACATCATATAGTATATAAATTAATCAATGAAGACAAAATTATGTTACAAGTTAGAAAGGTTTTATAATATCATATGTTATTTATTTATTTACATATTTTATTTAGATTTTTGTTTACTTTGAAAATGGCCTTAGAGCCAAAACTATAGTCAGTAAATATTTTAATAAATAATTTTACTTGGGTACTAAGTTTATTAATGTTTAATCTTTATTTAAATATAAATATATTTTAAATACATTAAAACTTCTTCAATTTTATATTTTATTATAGTATATGAAAAGTTGATACTTATCGAGATATAATCAAAAACCCCCAAAATGCGTAACTATACCCCCCCTTCCCCCCCCACCACCCCTGGCTCACCACCTAGGAGTCAGGACTTTTGGTATGTTAACACCCTAAGCCCCCTGAACAAGTTTCTGAAGGGATCGCTTAGTTACCTGCTCATGCACTCTACATCTCATTCATTGACTGGTATAATAGGGATGGAATGTTTGGCTCTACCTATCGTCAATGCTATAATATAAAACATTTAAAAACTTTCAAAGAACCAAATTGGTTACCTAATTAATCTGTGCCAAATATACCTTCTTAAAGATAGTAATAATGTAATAATTATAAAGCTCAAAAAATTTGTTATATAACAATCATGAAACTAGAAATTCATCATAAAATAACATCTCTCAGATAATAACATTAATTTCATACTATTAAAACTAATTTTATAAAAATATATGTATTTTCTAAAATAATGTCAATATCATCTAATAAAAAATTAGGTTTAACTTTATCCTAAGAAAGACACGTTCCTTGGCTGTCAAAGTCAGGAGAATGGAGGGAAAGAATGTCCTGAAATGTCAGTTTGCCCGTTATCATCCTAATGCAGGCGATGCTCTTGAACAGCTGATCCCCAGGAAGATCATCTGGTAGCCGAGTGAGGAACTGAGATCCTCGTACAAAATCCAACTGCAGAAGTATATCTTGACACAGGTGCAGTACACCTACAACATACAAATTAGTCATGACAACAACTAGCTCCTTCTTCTTCTTTAAACACAAAATGAGGAAAAATCAAATTCTAGTTGTTTTAATAAGAAAACCTGGTAGCCATAACCAAACAATTAAAATGAGCGAGGGTGAAAAAAAACTTTTTTTTGTTAAAATCTTTTTGTTTGATGAAATGTATTTTACGCCACACTACTCTATTTTAAAGAGCTTCCCACACAAGGATTTAGTCCAGAAAACAGCTGTCTGCCGCCGGATTAATCAAATGGGGTTTCATTTTGTACTACTGTGACGCTCGCGTCACAGCAGAGCTGCTATCAACCGGTTCAATCCGCTTTAGTCGCGAACACTGGAGGGAGTAGGGAAGGGGTAGAAGGAGGTCAGTCGTTGCCTGGAGTCCCCGGAGTGTTCACATCGACGAGGAACGGGATGAAATTGATAAGTTATAGTATTAAGCTAAATCATTAGTTATTTAAATATCATGTTCTAATTCTTTTCAGTACGGGGGGGGGGGACTAAGGGGTTAGGGATTCTATCGTCAATTAAATATTCCATTATGTAAACTGAGTTATTAGTACCTTTCGGGCCCATAAGGCGCAAAAGGAGTTTTTAGCTTATTCTTATTTATTAGTTTAATTGGTAGAATGCATTACTAAATTTAGATCATCAAAATGGCTGTGATATAGGTGTGGCTTGGCTCAGTTATTTAATTATAGTTAAATAACATATTATGACTTAGAATGATAGCACGCACAAGAAATCTCTTCGTGTTCTCGAAGAATTCTCGTGTTAATGTACTGTAATGAGTTTTTACCGGACACCAACCAGCTGATTTTATTTGGCAACTAGCTGGCCCGACAGACGTTGTCCTGTCCTAATGTTTTTAGCTTATTCACCTTTTGGTTGCAAATTAGCTGTTGTCATAAATTTAAAAAATAGTACTGCTGCACCCTGTTGGTAAACCTATTAACATTTTTATGCTATTGAACATCACAGAATCAAATTGTTTAGTTGAACCAAGATTCTTTAATTCCATTTAAATATGAGTACTCATAAGGTTAACATGGGAAACTCCAGAGCCACTGGGGTTGAGCCCTTTTGACGGATCTGCACCAAACTTCACACAAACCATCCTTGAATAATGCCTGAAAGTTTCATTACAATCTGTCGAGCGGTTTCCGAGTCCATAAAGGACAAACAAACAAACAAACATACATTGGATTTATATATATAGACTAGCTGGCCCCTCAGACGTCGTCCTGTCCTAATGTGGATTTATGTCAATGCTCATTCATTTTTGTTACATCCTAAATGTCTACCTTTACTTATTGCTTATTTATTCTATAACTATTATCAGCTGGTTATAATGTTTACTTGTTCACTTTGTTTTTAACCCTTAGAGTGCCAGGCGAGAAATAAAAGTAACGCTCAAAAAATGCCGATGATTTTTCCCGAAGGTCGCGCTAAAAATGCCGAGCGCGATCTGGCGATTTTTAGGTTAAAATTTCGTAAAAATCGAATTTTCGATATTTCGACCAACGAAAATCGATGTATCGCATCTAGCAACTTTCGACTCAATGTTAATATATGGGTTAAAAGAATCCGAGTATTTATTCGGTTGTTATGACAGCTGTTCGATCATTACGAAACGTCCGGTCAGCCGGACGTTGGCACTTTTGGCTCGTTCTAAAAACGTCCGGTCGGCCGGACGTTGGCACTTTTGGCTCGTTTTAAAAACGTCCGGTTCCCCGGACGTTGGCACTCAAAGGGTTAAGTTGTGTTGAATAAAGTTGGTTAAAATTGTACTTTAACAAATACATTTATTATTTGTTCTAATTACATACAGAACAATTTGGCGACGATGGAGGTGAGTACAAGTAATTCAAACACCTCTCAAAACATTCAAATGATTAACTCAGCATTGATTGGACCCTTTAATGAAAGATATGAAACATTGGAAATGTATATGGAAAGACTAGAGATATCATTCATTTATAACAACATTTCGGAAGATAAAAAGAAAATTACGTTACTTCACTGTATTGGATCAGACACTTACAGTAAACTTAGGGATATATTGCATCCTGTATCACCTATAACTAAATCCTATGCTGAATTAGTTCAAACTCTAAATTCACATTTTACACCGAAACCAAATGAAGTATCAGAGACATTCAAATTTCATTGTAGACACCAATATGAAGGAGAAAACGTTTCTGAATTTTCATTGGATCTTAGAAAGTTGTCTAGATATTGTAATTTCGGCACATTTCTGTCAAAAGCCCTGAGAAACCAATTCATACTCGGTCTAAGGGATGAAAAAATACAGACAAGGTTAATTACTCTAAGTGACAGTGATTTGAGTTTTGAAAAAGCTGTAGACATGGCTCAAGTAATTGAAAAGGCTCAAAACGATTCAATAACAATCCAATCAAAATTCAATCATGAAAACAATGAATTGCCGGTTAACTTAAATGTTGTACAACAGAAAAGTTTTCAAAAACCTAAAAACAGTACCAATCTTAAACAATGTTACCGTTGTGGAGAGTTACATGAATACATATCTGAATGCAAACACAAAAATACAACATGTAACTTCTGTAAAAAAATAGGGCATCTAGCAAAGATTTGTTTTAGGAATCCTAATGCACCTATCAAATTGCAAAGACAAAATAAGACCACATTTAACACTACCTCAAGAAATGTAAAACAAATAACAGACTTGTTCGAAGATCAAAGTGAAATATTACTACGACAAAATATGAACAATTCTGGTAGATCCCTCTATAAGGAAACTAATGTTATTGACATTTGTTCTATGAATACCTCAGAAGATAAATTTAGGAAAATTATGTTAAACATAAAAATAAATGGGAAAACTATTCCGTTTGAACTAGATACAGGAGCAGGGGTATCTTTGATGTCAAAAAGTAACTTTTCTAAGTTTTTTCCAAAACACAGACCTTTAATGAATCCAGACATAATCTTAAGAGATTTCAACAAACATGAATTTGTTCCATTGGGTAAAACCATTGTTCAGGTTGGTTACGGTAACCAAACCAAATATCTTCCATTGTATATAGTCGATGGTAATAGAGATACGATATTTGGTAGGGAATGGCTGAGATCGATTAAAATAAATTGGTCAGACATAAATAACGTTCACGGAGCTGACTTGAATAGAGTTAAACACTCAAATCCCAAAGTACACGATATTTTAATGGAATTTAAATCCATATTTGAACCAAGAGTTGGAAGTTTCAAAGGGGGAGAAGCACTTCTTAACTTAAAGCCTGACACTACACCAGTTTTAAAAAAAGCTAGACCACTACCTTATGCTTTGTTACCAAAAGTTAGTGCAGAAATCGACAGCCTAGAAAAAGAAGGTATAATTACAAAGGTGAATCAGAGTTCTTGGGCTACTCCAGTTGTACCGATTATGAAGGCAAATGGGAATATCAGACTGTGTGGAGACTACAAAGTAACCCTCAATCCCCATTTGGTAATACCAGAACACAACATGCCCCGCATTCATGATATTTTGGCTAGAATGGGTAATTCGACTAAATTTACAAAGATTGATATATCCGAAGCTTACCTACACATGCCAGTAAAAGAAGAATACAGAGAATTGCTCACAATTAATACACACAAAGGTCTATATCGAGTAAATCGTCTACCATTCGGAATTGCAAGTGCACCTGCTATTTGGCAATCAGCAATGGAAAATATTCTACAAGGTATTGATGGTGTTGATGTTTTCTTTGACGATGTCAAAATAACAGCCCACAGTGAGGAAGAACATTTGAAAAGACTCCGTGCTGTATTAAATCGGTTCAAAGACAACAATTTACACATTAATGTTTCTAAATCTCAATTCCTTGTACCAGAGATTGACTTTCTTGGTTACCGTGTCTCGTCAAAGGGAATAAGTAAAAGTAAACATATTACTGAAGCAATAAGAAACCTGAAGAGACCAAGTAATGTGAAAGAAGTTAGACAAATCCTTGGGTTGATAAGTTACTATCGAAAGTTTATTCCAAACTTAAGTGAAAAGATGCAAGCCATTATTAATCTCACAAGAGCTAATGTACCTTTTAATTGGACTGAAGAATGTGAACGAGATTTTCAATTGGTGAAGGAGGAAATGATGTCAGAGAATATACTATGCCATTTTGACCCACACTTACCACTCATTCTAGCAACAGATGCTAGTCAATCTGGAATTTCGGCAATTCTTTCTCATGTGTTTCCGGATGGAAACGAAAGACCTGTTGCATTTGCTTCCAAAACACTATCACAAACACAAAAACAGTACAGTGTCATACAAAAAGAAGCCCTGGCAATTTATTTTGGAGTTAAACACTTTTACCAATACCTTTATGGACGTCATTTCACCCTAGTTACAGACCACAAACCCCTGGTATCAATATTTGGACCGAAAAATGGAATACCATTTATGGCAGCAACAAGACTACAACATTATGCTATATTCCTTTAGGCATTTTCATTTGACATAAAGTATAAATCAACCAAAGACAATGTTAATGCTGATGCACTTTCAAGACTCCCTAAAAATGTTGAAGAAGCTGCTGTTATTGACTCAGCCGATGTTCATGAAATAGAACAAATCTATACTTTACCTGTCACAGCTGAAGAAATAGCAAAAAATACACAATCTGATCCAGATCTTAGAGATATTTATCAATCACTAATCAGAGGGGAGCCAATCCATCACCCGATGTCTTCTAACGAACAAGAATGGTCAATTCAGCTTGGATGCTTATTAAAAGGGAATCGTGTGGTGATTCCCAAACAACTTCGTGCAAGAATTTTGAAAGAACTTCATGAGGCTCATGTGGGTGTAGTTCGCATGAAGGGACTAGCTCGTTTGTATGTTTGGTGGCCTAAAATTGATGCAGACATTGAGAATATGACCTTAAATTGTTTGGGATGTCAACGAGTACAGCATGAATCACCCAAAGCACCAGTTCAC